TAAAAATAACATTAATAATTTTCTTTTCTTATTCTTATAGAGAAACTAGTCCTAACCGTAAATCACATGCAAAAGATAACACAGCCTCAAGTTCAGCAAACCAATCTAGTTATAATAATGGGTCCACATCGGGTGGTAACTATAACTATAACTCCGCTAATTCTGCATACTATGGTCAACAGGGTAACAGCACTTACCCATCTCAATCTTATGATAATTATTATAATCATTGGCAATATAGTTCCAATTATAGCGGTTATGGACAGTGGAGTGGCTATGGAAATTACTATTAAAATAGAAATAAAATAACTTATGTTTATATATATAAAAATCTATTATCAAAAATTGATTATACTATTTTAAACAATAACACTTGCTGATAAATGTTACATTCAATGTCGCGTATGTGTTAACAACATAAAACCGATGACCCATGTAAATTATATTAAGGCACACAAATCAACTAGAATTCGATATTTGATTTCGTTATAATTGCGTTGAAAAAGGTTTTTATATGTAATTCTTTTAAATTAAAAACGATTTGATATAATTATAAATTTGTAACCTTTATGAAACCAACCTCGTCAACATTAATAAATAAAACAAAAATTAATTGTGTTTTTGCAATGTTAGATGCAAACTTTATTAAATTTAGTCCATATTAGTTATAGAAGTTTCGAGTTATTTACTTACACCACGGTGTTTGTTATATATATGTATATATCAGTCTAATGCGCCAATAAACGTCCTATTGAAATTCTATGAAATTCCGCTGATACTTTCCTCCTTGGTGGACACGTATTTGTTACAATCTGCATGTTATGAACATGTGTTTTCGATTCTTGTTTTATTCTTAAAAATTACTTATTAAATCAAATCATTATCGACAATAGTCGTAAAAAAAAGCAAATGAATACTTCATAACTGTTATTTCTTTTATAAACGTTTATTTAATTAAAAAACTACAACATGCTCCTTAAGTATGGAAAACTATATATATATATGTTTATATATATATTACATGTTTAATATATTGTCATTTTATATCATGTACTTATAAATTAGGATGATACCAAACTACTTTGCCGCTTAGGCAACCTGAAACTAAAAGCGGTTCACGAGGGCTGAACTTGGTACTCAATACTACATCCGAGTGTGCACTTATGTTTTTAATTACCACCAATGGTATAGGTTCAGGTTTAACTGTCTGAAGTCTATTGTTGCGGGGATATTCTGAACATTGATCACTGAACCCTAACAAGCGTACACCATTTTCATATGGTGAAGATATAATTCTTCCATCGGATGAAAAAGAGGGCTCTTTTATAAAACCTTTTCCTTTGTTTGACTCAGGAATGTAGTACATTAGCTTTTTGGCATTTTGAACAATATTTCGTTCCTTAGTTCGCATTGGTGTTAAATGAATAGGTCTATGTTCAGTAGGTGGTTCTCTAGGTACGAAAACTAGTCCACTTGGGGGCGATAGAATATTTGGAGAACCTGGACGTAAACGACTTTCTTCAGATGAACTATTTGCGACATATCTTCTGTTAATAATTTCAGGATTATTACTTGAATTTGCGGTACGATTTACAGTTGCTGGTAAGACGCCGCTGCTTATAGCATAAACAAAACTATATCCAGTTACTGAACTTGAACTGCGAGAACGGGTCTGGCGCATTGCTCGCTCTTGCACTGTAACTTCTGCAGCCCATATATCCGGAACAAATAATTCTGATCGATTTTGAGGTACTAAAACATTAGATGATGTTGGTGGAGGGGGCGGTGGTGATACCACTGTTTTCAAAAATTAAATGTTTTAAAAATAAAATTAATTATGTGAAATTAACCTCTTGGACTAGTTGCTGAACGTAAACGACGTCTACGATTAAAATTAAAGTGAACATCATCTGGAGAATCACTGGTTTCTTCTTCGCTTCTTTCATCATCTGCTTCACTACCTAGTTTTCGCTTTCTTTGTCCACATTCTTGAACTTGATCAGTAATGTCAAACGGCTCCTCATTAATGTCATGAACACAAGACCATTCAGAGTTTTCATCGTGACATATATTACGGCTAAGAAGCGATTGTCCTTGCGGATCAATCTAAGAATGTATAACAATAATTAAAATTTATATGTTAATATAGTGTGTTTTATTTATATTGCAACTTCTCTTCAAAATCTTTCACTAAATATAATTATAAATCGGAAAAATCTAACTGCTGAAAGGATTGTATCTTATGGTACGTGAAAAAATAAATTTTTAAAATTTGCATACAGTAACGTACTTAATATATGACAAAATAAATATTCTGACAGCGCTAAACAACTTCTAAGCAGAATCAAAAATATTATGTCATAGAAATAAACATCCAAATGTGTTCACAAACATTAAGCTGTTTCGTAGCCTTTAATCAATTTGACAATTGATTAATGATCGAACATCGTCTAGGGCTAATATTTATTTGCACTACATCAACGAGCATCTGCTTGATATAGTAAATAAAAAAACGGTTCTGATCCAATTGGGGCCAGGGTATAGCTAATGCAAAATAATTATTTGTCAAAGAGTACCTCTTCTATTTCCGATGTATTCCAACTAAATTCTTAAGACTAATAATATCACATAACATAACATCTAATAACATCTAACATATAATTGTCCCACAGAGTATATTAACTTAAGCCATATCCTTACTTCGTAATTAAAAATTGTATCCCAAAGTGTGAAGGTTTTATTTTATCTAACATTGCAGGTTGAGTTGGGTTAAGCTAAAACAGTAACACAAAATTAGTAGAAAAGTCGCTACTCCAATTAATATTTAAAATTTATAACTTTACCCCAAACTTCCAGTTAAAGTTCAAAAATTCTCAACATGATTTACTACAAAAATTGGAAATGTACTTATTACAAAGTGTTCAATGAACTCGAATCCCGTCTTGTGTAAATATTTACAATATTAAAATTTTAAGCAGAAAGCCTCTATATGAATGTTGTTTTATTTTAAAAACATTAAAATCAAAGCAAAATTTTATTAAGAAAGAATGAGTATTTGCAGAAAAGACAGGCAGAGCAGAAAAACAGACACACCAACAAATTTAATACCTTCTGTTATTGAACAATTATGAAATACGAGAAATAGCTAATAAAACTAGTCGCTAAAAACTAAAGTTTTCTTTGTCTAAGTTTGTATATATACCTGAAGTGCTAAAATTACTTCTGCATCATCTTCATCTGGAAAATCGGTGACTAACTCGACTCGATTTTTTTTTTGTTTTTTGGAAAAAACATGCTCAAATTTCGCTGCTTGTGGTATATACTGATTTCCCATTTGCATAAGTCGATAAATTAATGGCTGTAAGATACAAAGTTTTAATGTGATAAATTAAACACAATAATAGTATTTGTGAAAGCTTACTCGAAAACCGCACAAATCTTTGTGCAAAGTTGTTAAATCCAATTCATGTACAATCATCAAAAATCCACCGGTTGTACATATAACTAGTTTAGTACCATCTGGAGTTATTCGACAACGCATTAAGCCACTTGTGTGAAACACTTTTTGATATATAAGTCCTTGCTCTGTAAGAGCATTAATATCCCATGTAAAAATACTACCGTCAAACCCAGATGTAACTAACAAATTGTCTTTAGTAGAATATTCTATATTTTTAACCCAGTTTGAATGACCGTGTAAGCTGCGAACTTTCCTTTTAAGTTGTCGTATATCCCAGAGCGCCACTGTAGTATCATCTGAACATGTTGCAAACATACGGTTATTCAAAAATCTTTAAAAACGAATTATTAACAAATAATAAATACAAATGTTTTTCAAAATAAAATTCTTTACTTGACGCAGTTTACTCGGTCAGTGTGTGCCTCCATTATTTTATGTGTATGATTTGTAGTTACTGCATCAAATAAGAGAACACATTTTTTTTCGCACGCAGCGACTACAATATTTCTGAAATAAAAATTACATCAATTTTAATCATAGTTTCCTTGTTGTTAATAAATACCCTTCAGGAGAGAACTCTAAATTAAATACTCCTCCAAATTCAGATTTATTGAATTCACCGAATTCATTTTTCCATTCTTGATAGGGTTCTACCGAGGAATATATGCGCTTCATTATACTATTTGTGTCATTAAATCTTGGAGGCAGTGCCGACTCCCTTCTTGTTAACCAGTTTAGATAACTCATTTTTTTTAAGAAAATAATACAACTTATTAAAGTTTCTTCAAAGTTTGTGGTTCAATTGTTTTGAACAACGTGGTAATATCCCACAACTCACGATTAAATTTATACGATGTATCTAACCATAACACCAAACACAAAAACGAAATTCTTCTAAACTACAAAAATATCAGAATACGATTGACTGAACTGTCAAAACTAAAATATCGGCATATCGATATTCAGTAAAGTCAGCTGCTAGTATCATTCGTTACCCGTTATCGAATTTTTATTACTTTTATTTTTTAATTTTCAATCTACTTTAAAAAAGCTTTTAAGTTCTCTGTTCATTTTTCTGCAATAAATTTATAAAAATATGAATTGATTGAAATAAAATTTTTATTTATGAAATTAATAAACGGATAAAACAAATGCCACACAAAACGGTACACAAGTCCAATTGTTCTACTGAAAGAAAAGTTCGGCATACGAACAATAACAACTGTCAAGTTTATAATATCGGTATTCTTTGATATCGGTAAACTGATATTGATCACAATAGATATTCCATTTTTTATTATTACATCTTCCTTATATTAAAAGTGTATATGTTGTGTATATATGTGTATATGCCGTCACTTTTATAAATATATATAATCTCATTAAAATAAAACTTAAATTCATTTAAACTAATATAAAAAAGTTAATATAATTTACTTAAATATATAATAACTAAACTTGTCTTCATTATGTGGACCTAAGCTTAGTATTAATATCCATGTTTCACAAAAGTTGGACATTGTACAAATTTCTTTTCTATTGGGGTTTATGTCAAATTGCATTAAGAAATTAATGTTAATAATAAGCCTTATCTGAAAATTATTTCTTCTTTTATAGTGCAAAATTTAAGAATAATAACTCATAGTATTACATAATTTTTAATTTAACAAAAGTCAAATACAAGGTAAACTTTATATATTTACAAAAGCATTCAGTCAGTGCTCAATTTAGCTGAAACTAAAATGATATGTATCATACTAAAATGATATACTCAGGTGCTAACTACTAGTACTAAAAACTAAGAAGAAAAACAAAATAACTAGATAAAATTTGAAAAAGAAAATGAAATAATCACACATTCACACTGTCCTTATTGTCACTAATGAGAATGATTTATCATACACAGAGTTTTCTTATAAATAAGACCAAAAATGTCGAATGCAACCTTCAAAAATAAATTTCCCACAAGGAAAATTACCAAAAGTTGAAATATGTGTCACATGTTTTATACGTGAAATATAAACAAATCTTTCTTTTTATTAATTGAATATGTAATTGATATATAAATAATTTAATATTTAAATTACATATTTAATTTTTTTTTAAATGAAGTTTATAAAAGTTCTATCATCTGCATAACTGAGCTCATTATAATGTGAACTCATTTACTCAATAATATATACATATATAACCAGGTGCTTAAATTAAACAGTGTGAATGTACTATAAGAAAAAGTGCCTTTCAGTTCACATGAATTTCATTTAAGTAATTTAAATATTTATTTATAATAACTCTTGAAAAAATAATAATAATTAAAAATATTCGAGCTACATATATCTAAGTTCGGCCAATCTAGTAGTTCAATTTCTCAAATTTATTATGTTGACACATTAAACTAAACATGTCAAATGTTCTCACTTAAAATAATTTTTATAATTTGTCAGTACGATTGCATATCGTGGCTTATATTAAATAATTATTATTTTTTGTTTATTTACTTATGACCATTTTCTTTAGCGCTGACATTCAAATTTAACTTTTTTTGGTATGCTAGACGTCACTTTAATTGGGTACAAAGTTGGCATCACTTTCTAAATAAAAACTTCAAAGCGTATCTATTTCGTGCAAGCAAATTGTTCTAATATAAATAATAAAATATAAAAATGATATCACAACCACAAGCCACTAAAGAAGAAGTTCTTAAATTGATGTCCATGAGAGATGCTTTAGAATTAAAGATTAAAGAAAATGGTTTAATTTTGGAGGCAGTATGTTAAATCTATTTTAATTATAATAATATAATTTCATTATTTTAATAGAACGGAAACGTTGGTATGAATGGACCACTGGTAGATGAAAATGGATTTCCTCGAACTGATATTGATATATATCAGGTTAGACAAGCTCGTCAACAAATTATTTGTCTACAAAATGACCATAAAACATTAATGAAACAAATTGAACAAAACTTGCATAAATTGCACAAAGAAGCATCAGAGGAGGAACAACATCAAAATATTTCAAATGTCACAGCAAACTTGCAATTGGAAGATGGTAACAGTACGCATAATGCCAGCGATAATGCTTCACCTGCAATTGTGAAAGTCACTCTTATAAGTCCAGGGTCACCAGCAGAAGATGCAGTAAGTGAAAATATATTCAATGTGTTAAAATAAAATTTATTTAAAATTCCTAGGGTCTATGTGTTGATGATGAAATAATTGAGTTCGGAACTATTAATGCAAGTAATTTTGAGAGAAATCTTAATCAAATTGGAGCTGTTGTTAATCATATGAAAGATCAAAAAGTTTATTTAAAAGTACGTCGCGGACAACAATTGCAGCGCCTATTATTAATACCAAAAATTTGGAGTGGACGTGGGTTATTGGGTTGTAATATTGTTTTATTAGAAAGTTAATTCATGTCAGATATATAAATAAATAGATTTTTAATCACACATCATCTGGAAATTGTCATCTTAGTTTAATATTAATTCATCACTTTTTATTATAAAAACAGTTCAAAATATGGTATTAAATCGTATGAACTGCTGATATCAAATTTGTGTCATAATTTCATAATATATTATTATACAATATCTGTTGTATAAACATTTGTTGTATATTAATAAAAAATAATTACCTTTAAAAAGTTTCATTTTGTTACTCATTTTCTGATAACAAAACAGATTGTTTCTAACTTTTAGTGGTATAGCAATGTTTTTTTGTTCGATAGCAATGTTTATATTTTTAAATATTATTTTATGAAATATATACAGTTTTTTTTAATGACTTAATTTTATTTACATATTTTGAACGAGCTAATATATATGGTAAACTATTTAAATAAAACACTTTTTTACATTAATTTTAAAAGATATATTTTATTATCACCAATATTTTAACTATAGTCTATAATGATCTTAAGGGTAGTGATATAATACAACTTTTTGCAATATAACAACAAATTCAATACATATGATAAAGAAATAGTTATAAAATTTTATAACAATTATATTTTCAAATACATATATACAGAAATTATATACTTATCCTGTTTGGAAAAGTACCAATTATGGAAAGTGTTTTCCGATTTATGGAACGTGTTTTTATGCACTTCAACGCAGATTTGTTTATCTGTCTTATAGTTGAGCTTTATGTCATTAGGCACAATGACATATGACCTTTTGTTGGTTATTTTCTTGGTTTAACACCTTTTTTTTCTGAATCTGGATCGTGCTGCGGTTAAATGCAATCTGAAGTTAGCGCAGTTTTAAATTCCATACGATTAATGTGCTTCACACTGTGCTTATGTTTAGCTATAGGCTTCTTTAATTTGTATTGAGTTAAATTTTTGTGCAATTAAGTTGAATTGAGAAGAACAGTAAACAACACTATAAAAGTTGGTTTATGTGTATAAATGATTGAAAATGAAAGTTTGTGAGTTAAATTACACTGTGGTGTAATTATTTATGTATCATCAACATACATCAACAAGAAATAAAGTTAATTTGGTGAACTTGAGGAGTTTTAAATCATTATCTATAGAAATTTATTCAAATCGGACTGTTACTTTGAGATGGCAAATACACAAAAGTTTAATTTTTTTTTGTGTAGTTTATATAAAATGTTATATATTACAATATATAATACTATATAAGTAATAAAGTAGATTATACTCTGGGAGGTGTTAAAGTATAATATTTCAAAATTTTAGTAGTTACTCAACAACTCATTGTGGTCATATCCTAATAAGATGATAGTAAATATTTTAAACGTGATATCAAATAAAACAGTTTTTATGCCTTTGAGAGAACTGAAATTTACCATAATTATTATATGAACTAAGAATATCAATACTGCTGTTCACGATTTTGTGTAAAAATTTTATTTACTTGTGTTATGTGTAAATATGTGAAATTTTACTAGAAATTTGATATATGTAAAATTATATTATTTATATATCAGTGAAGTTCAATTTACAAAATTTGTACTAAGTATATTTATTTAAAAAAAGGGGAACTATACGATTTATAAATTATAAATTATCACATTAAAAATATAACCGGATGCTTAAGGGTTGAAAATCTCCTTTATGCATTCTTTCAATTCTCTTATTAAGAAATGTCTTAAATTGTTATTGCGCACTGTAGAAGCCGCACTTGTTAACTGTCATTAGTAAGTAAAAAAAAGTCGGTCCTTTTTTTCACTCACAGGATATTAGATTTTCCCAACTTGAGTAGCAATAGTAAAATAAAGTTGAAAGCGCGTGCATTGGGTACGGAAAAAATTTTATAACTGCTGAAAAAAAATAAATTTTTATAACTTATATTATATTTTAAATTGTATACAAAAAGAATTTACATATTATATGTTATAAGTGAATTTTATGAAATATACATATGTATATGTATCTACTAGGAAGTGTTTTAAATATTTTTTAGAGTGAATACAAAAACATGGAAAAATGTTTTAGTTTATATAATGAATATCCATTACTATAAAACTTTTTAAAGAAGATTTACAAATGTGCATTTATCTAACTTTTTCATTATTATTATTTTATACATAACGTTCACGTCAAAACAAGATTCTTATGTGCTTGAATTCCATGAAAAGAAAAAATTATCATCTCAATAATAAAAGAACTAAAATGGCATTGACTTTTTGCCTTCAAAAAATGTACACGCATACATTTATATATATTAACATGCATAGATTTGCTCAAGAGGCAGCAATAAATATGACTTCATCTGCATTCCTTTTGGAAATTGTAAATAATCAAAATATAATGAAAGGATTGATTTATATTAACAAAAGTTGATAGCGTCACAAAATTTGCATTTCTCTATAAAAGGGATTATTGTACATTTCTATTGTATAAAATCGAATCCTATGTACATATATGGAACATCATGTTTGATTGAAATTTATCCTTGCTTTTGTACGTACACAAAACTTAATGGTATTCATATACGATGTGCATAATATAAATAAAAAATTCTTTGGTATACAGTATAGTCCATACTATACTCGTAACTAGGATAATTTTTATTTACTTTACCTTTCATCCTAATTTAAAAAATTATTTATTTTATGTACTCCCATTTGTGTATTCAATTCGTAAATTTTTACAAAAACTTAAATACTTTTTAATTAAAATACAACGCCTCTGCATTTAAAAAAGTTATTGAGTTAATTAAAAATAAACATTACACAAATACTATTCATTGTATAATATGAATTATAATAAAAATAGAAATGTGCAAATTTTTATTTTTATTTAAAATTTTCTATAATATATTTATGTAAATATGTATCTGTATATATGTATACATACCGCATACATTTTCATAACATTCTACCCACGTACATGAAAATTAAATAATTAAATATTTTTATAACCTAGACCAATTTTTAATACTACATGTATATGTGCATGTAAACATGTATATGTGTGCTATGTAGAAAAGGATATAAAGGAAACGAGAGTGCTTACATTGTTTATGCAGAAAATATTCGTATTGAAAAAGGAAAATATTCGTCGGCATAAAAATAACTAAAATAAAGTAGCATTGCAAGGATACTGCAGACATGAGTTTAAGTGGCACTAACAAGAAATGCGGGCAGTGCACAAGTATAAATAAAACAAGGTCGACGAAGCAAGTGTGTTGAATCATAAAAATAGAAACGAAAAATTCAAAAAGGATATGTGAAAATGTGTGCAGGAAAGGATAATCATTATAAGAATGTTAATCTTAAACATATAATTAATTACATATTAAGTATTAAAAATTATATAAAAAATGATGAGCATATTATAATTCATGTGTGTTAAGTTACTACCAAACTTAATGCGACAAAAAGTGAAAATTATTATAATATACACAAAAATGAAAGTAAAAAACACCTTAGCAGTGACTCTTAAGTGAACGAATGACATAAGTTGTTAGTCTAATTGGTAGTTCTCCAAATCCGGTAGTTATGCTTCCCTATCCCATATCTATACAACTATATAATTGGTACGATTGTTAATAATAAAAACTTCGCCTAAATGAAGAATGAAGAAACAAAATGTTCGCACGATATCTCTGATCGTGTGTACATTTACTTATTTGCTTGTTGGAGCTGCAGTTTTTGACGCACTCGAGTCGGAAACGGAAACCCGTCGTTTTGAAGCATTACAAGGTAAGCTACCATCTCCATATAATTATCTCTAAATTATTATCTCGATATTATTATCTCTATGTTATTAACTCTATATTATTATCTCTATATTATTATCACTATATTATTACCTCTATATTATTATTATGCTGTAGTAGTATTATAGGTGATTATTTGTGTATTATAGCATTAGTAACTATTTTTTTTTATCATTATTTGCATAAAATTATGCTGATGATAATAAACTTTAACTCCCTCATAAGTATAGAGACTAGTTTCAGTATATATAGAAACTTTTGTTTCAGTATAAAGACTAGACTAAACATTTCTAACTCTTTTTTAAGTATAGGGACTAGATAAAATATCTAACTCTTGTTTAAGTATAGAGATGTCTAATTCATTTTTATTATCTTCAGTTATTTACTGTACTAATAATTTTATGCCACGATTTTTCTCAAACTTCTCTGTATTATTAAGAAACGTACTTTTTTGCTTTATAGAAAACTTTAATTTAATGTTAAAGAGTTATTTCGTTTAAATTTCTCCGTAACCTTGAACAATTTTTATTTGTTATAGAAACTTTAATCTATGGAAAGCGTCCATATATACCATATTGTTTTAAGCAACCATATTTCACATGTATTGCACAGATAAGGATTTCTGAATAATTGTGTTTCTCTTTGCCTCTTTGTCAGTAAGTTTTATAAGTCGAACTTATAAAACAGATTTTAATATTCATATATTTGTTTTAATAATGTTATTAATTATTTTAAAAAAAATATGCAATTAAACGACAACAGTATTGATCTTTAATACAATAATTATGATTAATTATTGAAAATAACTCAGTAGCTCAGCAAAAATAGCTTTGACCTTGTAAGTACTTCTAAGCACGTCATTGACTGTCTTGTATTCTGCTGATGTAACCATACATAAATATATAACATAATCTACTGTCTCGAATTCTTAGTTTTCTATAGAAATGGTTCAATATTTTTATAGCTTTTGTTTTGCTGTAAATAATTTTGTAATTGACTTTTGTCTATTATACGAGATGAGTTCATCGTTATTAATTATTAGTGGACCCATTCTTTAAAAATTCAATTTGAATAATATTTCACTACATTACCGAAAATGATGATTCTTCATTTAGGTAAGTCTGATTACCTAAATGGCTCAATATGAAAATTTTAATTATTTAAAACACTCTAATCATAATTGAGAGTTCATATTTGGTCAAAATTCGTTCGCCCCCGTGTTATACTATTAATTCGTTTATAGAATATATACCATTACTCTATTTTATTTATTTTTATTATTTTCCCTTTTTTTATTTTAGTTTATAATAATTCAGTCACATTTTATAGTTAAATATATTATATATTTGAATTTTTAAACTATTGTTATTATTGAACTTAAATAAAATACTCATACGCAACATATTAATTTATAACATTATAACATGAAAAACTATTAGTACCAAATATAAAATAAACTTTTTTATGGTCTCCGATTTGCCAATTATAGAAGAAGTTTTTTAATAAAAAACTAAATAAAAAACGAAATAAAATAAAAATTACAATATTCTAAATCAGGGCTATCCAAAGACGGTCCGCGGGTCACATGCGGCCCGCGGCTAATGTTTGTGCGGTCCGGGACCTGATTTTAGTCTGCTACAATTACGAAAATTTTCTTTTGGTGTACTGGTAAAAGTATATTATTTTATTTCTATGGTATCCCAAATAAATGAATTTAAATTGAAAAATTAATAAAACTAAATTTAACATTATAATCGTACTTGTATTGGCCCGCGATCGCATCTAGTCTGGACAGCACTTTTCTAAACAAATAAAGTAATTACTAATTATTTTGTATATAAGAAAAAATTGTTTGGAAATATATTAAAAAGGTTAAAAAAGTTTACTGATTTACTTAAAAGATTTGGTACTGATTTTAAGAAATAAAATTTAAGAAAACACTCATATTCCAAGAAAATAAGCCATTTAGTTATTAGAGAATACAAACCACTAATTAAATAAGAGAAAGTCTTCAGGAAAAATAAAATTCATGATGATAATAATGATACTTAAATAATATTGTCAAAGTCAAAGTGTTATTATATGATATAGTTTAACAATAAATTAGATAATTTATCACGTGAAGCTATATCAGAGTCTTCTTATGGTGTTAAGCCCATCATTCCGTAGTACGGTAACCTAACTTAATGTAAAATATCACGTTAAATAAGATATATATAGCGTTAGAAGCTGACCAATTCATTGTTTACTTATTCTATTGGAACTATTGTGCTCTAATTGTACATCAACACTGAAAGAGTAGCAATTTCATAAAAAAATCTATGAAAAGTATTGCATTTATTTTGACCTGATGAAATATAATAATAATGGCATAATTGCATGTCAGTACATACATAAGTAAGACAATAAATAAAAAAGACTGTTCAAACCTATTCTACTATGCCAGAGGATACCAGAGCATAGCAGAATAAATTTCAATTTCAATATAATAATGTCAAATGAAACATTACTATATATTTTTAAACAAAAAGAATACATTAAACCAAATTAGGGCACATTTGAAAAAGCTTAAATTTTATAAATAGTCTTATTTAATTACGTGGAATAAGTAATACTAGGTATATATTATTATTTTACTTGCATTTATAATAAATATGTGTGAAAGATTAGTTAATAAACCTTTGAATCTAGTATTCAATAAACATCATGCAAATATAGTCTGAAATAGTTTTAAAAAATTTTAAAAATATTATTTGATTATAACGTTACCTGATGCGATGATTTCAAAGATTTTTAATTGATGACATATATGGTATAAACAATGGGTACATTTTTTTTTTAATTATTTCTACTCCTTACCATGCAGCTGGAGGACGCAAGTAAGGAGTCTTCCAGCTATATTACGAATCTTTTGGATTAAATTGTTAATTTCTTAACAGGGACCGAACAGTTATTTCAAAAATTTTTAAGAAAAAAAGCAGCAACATAAAGTCTAAATTCATTTTTAAGTATATAAATATCATTCTAACAATTTTCATCTACAATATCATGCATGCTTAATATATATGATAATGTATTTGTAATTGTATTTGCTTTATTTTATATTATATTTTTCAGAAATAATTATTATCATGTGCCTTTTATTTTTACACGCAAAAATAACTCTTACAATCTGCTTTTTATTTTAAAACACACAAATAACTGTTATTTTTGCTTTAAAAATATAAAAATCAGAAATAATTTTTTTTTTTTGAAAACAAAATATAACTTTTGAATCTGAAAAAATATAATATAAAGCAAATATAATTATTATTTTTTAACTTTTATGTGTGAAGCTGTTTTACATAAGAAAAGTATATTTAATATCATTGTCCTATATATCGGTAGCAATTATATTATTAATTACAAAAGACGCAATCATTTGTATAAGTGAGATGACATAATCTTCAACCATTCTAAGTGTGCAATATTCTTACGTCAATTTAGTATATTTTTTTGTGCTGAATTATTAGAACAAATACTATAAAAACTATAGATGCGGTCATTAAAATCAATAATACAATATTAACCGCTCCTATGTTTTTCAATTCACTTATAAAAGCATCATTTTAGTTAATTTTTTTATATATTTTGAGGACCAACGCTAATTTAATTTTTACCAATTAAACTAAACTTTTTTAGAAAATTGATAAGAAACGTATATTCTCAACTATCCGATAAAATGTACAATAATTCTAAATGGATCAACATGTTGTCCTTATTGTTTTTTTGAGCTTTATTGGATTCATATACTTAACATTCTAGTGAGTATCCTTAGTTTGAATTTAGTTACAGGAGCAGCTAGTAATTTTAAAGTATAAATACTACAATAAATTTAATCTAAAACGATTACATTAATTATGCAAGATTACTGGTTTGTTACTAAGTAATGGATTCATAAAGATTTAAATGTTCCTAATTCTAAGTATCTCGAAAGATTGATTAACTATATTAATCAACTAACTGTGGATCTATTAGATGAAACTGAGAATGTTAAAAGACTGATAAATTCACATATCTTTGATTTCCCATTTATGCAAAAATTAAACAAATTATTACAAATTATAGTACTTAATATTTATAAAATATATTCAACATTTTTTTAATACTTAAATAAATAGATTTTAAATAAAATTTTATCAAAACAAAAAGAAATTATATATATTTATATATTGTTACAACAGCGTTTTTTGATGTCCAATATTCGAGTTTATATAGCCAATTTATATATCTGCCATCTGTCATATCCAATAAATGCAAATATTGTTTTATGGATGGCGCATTTAATCACCCGATGACCAGCTATATTCTAGTCTTAGTGATCAGTAATACAAAAGCATAAACTAACAGATAGCAAATGGAGTTAGAAACTGATACAGTTTATTAATAAAATAATAATCCAATATGGCTGATAAACCTATTTGCAGTTGCAAGCACACACTGGTCCTGATCTTAGGAACCCATTGCCTTCTGCAGTCAGAAAAATAGTAACTTTATTATTATGTTTTATTTTTACTTTAAAATTTAATATTAATTTTTTAAATTGCATTAGGAAAAATATTCAATACGCAACAGGAGTGTAAGTTTTAATTTCTTTATAGTCTCTTATATATAATTATATAAGATAAGTATATATAATATACTATATATAAGATCTGTTAGTTAGCAACCGTTCTGCTTAAAAAGCTATATTGTAAGAAATTATTTAGTGTAGCTGGCTACGACTTGCAAATTTTGAGGACGTCAAAATAGACAATAGTTACCTCTGAGTACAAGTGTTGATAATTACTTTCGACACGAACCGTTTTAACCTAACATAACTTAGAACGGGTACTTCATGCATTCAAACCGAACACACTAGGTAATAAGTACTGACTTTTTTATATTTATTATATGTTCTAAATATATTAAAAAAAATTTTGTAAATTCTACATAAAATCTTTTAAATTAAAAATCTTTTTGCAAAGCTCACATATTTTTAAAATATTTTTGAATTATTCTTTAAATGGGCTTTCAAAAACCATGATTATAAACAAAAGATTTTGGTCATTCAAGCAATAAATAATTTTAAATAGTATTTTATCAAGTTTCACCAACATAAAATAATAATTTTTTTTTTCTTGTATTTGTAGCTGTCGAAAACATGATAATACGCAAATATAACATTTCACAAGAGGATTTCAAAGTTATGGAAACTGTTGTTCTTAAATCAGAACCGCATAAAGCTGGCCAACAATGGAAATTTACTGGTGCATTCTATTATGCGACTACTGTGCTGACCACAATCGGTTACGGACATTCGACACCAAGCACTATAGGTGGAAAGCTTTTTACCATGTGCTATGCAATTGTTGGCATACCATTGGGCCTTGTTATGTTTCAAAGTATTGGAGAAAGAGTTAATAGACTGAGCAGGTTAGTTCAACTGCAGTTGGGTTGCGAGTTGGTTTTACATACTATAATTACAAGCAATTTAAATGATATGTCGATATAATTTATACAAAATTTTATTAAAATTTTAGCTTTGTTATACAAGCGGTGAGAATATCTCTGCGCTGTAAACGAACTGCAGCTTCTGAAGTAGATTTAATATGCGTTGTTACAACGCTGAGCTCTTTAACGATAGCGGGTGGTGCTGCGGCCTTTTCGAAATTTGAAGGTTGGAGCTATTTTGATTCAGTATATTACTGTTTTATTACTTTAACTACAATAGGTAAGAAGAATTTATAATTTTAATTTTTAAAACACTCATAAAACTTTTATTTCGTTTTCAAGGTTTTGGAGATATGGTGGCATTGCAAAAGGATAATGCGCTCAATAGTAAGCCTGAATATGTAATGTTTGCGTTAATCTTCATACTATTTGGCCTAGCAATTGTTGCTGCCTCACTAAATTTATTAGTACTTAGGTTTGTTACGATGAATACAGAAGATGAGCGTAGAGATGAAGCTCAGGCTATGCAGGTAAAGTTTCTAATTAATTTTCATTTTTTGAATTAATTTTAATAAATCAAATATTTTGAAATAATTTAATTTAATCCAGTGTCTTGAGTAGTTTCTAAAATTTTGCAAGTGTAGATATGAAACCAAAATGATTTCGATATTAATGTTTAGGTTTCAGAAAATAATAATTATAATATATTATTGACTTGCATAAACTAAAATAGTTTTATTTTGTATTTTATACGACACTATAATCTTAATTATATTTTTAACATAGTTATTAGCATTTTTTATAGTTTCTTAATTCAGTAACTGAAATTATCATTAATATTGTTTTAAAATATGAATTAATATTAAAAGTAAATTGCATTTATTTACTGCTTAACTTAGGTATATTTTATCAATTGTCATTAAGATAATTTTGCATCTTGCATAAGAATATAAAAATTAATGAAAAACAGTGGCGTTTCTGTGCCAAAAGGAAGCTATTATGATTATAAACTAAGGGCGCAGTAAAACAAATGTGCAAACCTTGTCTAAAAATTTTTATTTAACATATATATCTAACACTTAAAAAAGGGCATTAAACATGCATTATTTTTTTATTACATTAGGACTCTAGTGAGTTTTTGTCTCCATGGGGATACTAACTATTGATTACTCCATGGCTAAACCACACCTATGTGGTATAAAAACAGTCAAAACAGTATTAATAAAAATTATGCATTTTTTAAACTTTTAAATAGTTATGGAATAATTATACGTATAAGTATATCTAAACTATTTTGGTTTCATATTTGAGTAAAAATCAATATAGCTAGTGCTTTGAATATAATTTTATATCAGTTATTTCTTTATAGAAGTAAAAATTTTTTATAAAAATATTTTTACCTGTCCAACTTAAATTGAAAATATCTTTAAAACCAATCTAACTCGCTTTATCCATGTTGATTTCTGTACTTTTTATAAAAATTAACAGAGAGAAAACATAAAACATAAAAAAAAATATCATTATCTGCTTTAATAATCATATATTTAATTCCTTCATTTAAAAATATTACAATTTTATATCACCATGTATTAGTAAATTTTGATGATTTTTAAAATATTTTAAATAATTTCATTTAATATTTTCCATATCCTTGAGGGTTATATCTTTTCCTGTTGTATTGTTTATTTTTATTTTAAGTTTATATCACATTACCTTAAGCTTTATTTTACGGCAAGACTACCGACATTTTGTGACTATAGTTCGTATTAACGAAACTACATACAAGTACATGTGTTACTTAAAGTGTCTTGATTGTTGGTTTGTGTAAAATAATCCTATAACATTTACTACCGATTCAATTACAGTACCATTCAAGTAAATACGGTAGTTGAACTACATTTGTTCATTTTTAAGTCCCTTCATTTTGTTACATGTGACTATATTATATCCAAGGGATACGCTTAGTCTTATAGACCTATTGTGTTACCGTATAATTGTGTGACTATATTAATGTCACGGTACAATTTCTAGGATTCATTATTTCATATTAGTAAATAAACGGAGGTAATTTACATATATCAATAATACTGTTACCATAGTTTTTTATTCTCCAAACGTCTGTATAATACAAATATAACTTGTGACCTCATTTATATATCTATTGGCAAGTGAGATCCTCCGCTAAACTTTATAATAACTTAAATTTTAATAATTTTTAATGGGAATTCAATTATAAGCAATTAATATGAGTGAAAATTGTTGAATATATAAATATATGAATATATTTATTAACTTATTAAAAATATTATAAACGTCGATGTTTCTTATTCAAATTATAATCCTAAATTTATTTAGTACATTTTAATACCACATTTAGTTCTAAATAATTATATATTCATAATATTGACAGTGCTGTAGAAGATAACTAGGCAACACTATCTTATAACGCCGAACAAAGCGAACCTAATTAAGCAAATTTATTGAAATCGCAAATATCATATAGAAGTCTGTAATTTGAGTCTATAGTTATCAAATGACTTCTCCAATTTTTCAAAATTCTATCAGGAATGTTTACAGTTTTTTTTTATATATATTATTTATTTATTTTTATTATTTTTTGCATTTGAAAATACCCATTTCTTCATTCTTATATCAGTGCAGCGATAGAAATAATATTTTCTGTTCCAATTCAGAAATGTGGTGTCCTAATATAGGGCTCACTTCAGAACAGACTACACATATTCATATTAATAAATTATTTCTTATTAATAATTAATAATTTTTTCTTATAAATAAATTATTTCTTATAAATAATTTATCAATTATTAATAATTTAAGACTGCTCCGTTGAAGCAGCCTTTACTAGTCTGCCTTATTTTCTAAAGTGCTGTTTTAAAATACAAATTGCTATAGTGTATATTAGCTTATAAATTTCATATAGAGAATATGGTAATTCCACTTAAATTTTTTTTAGATTTTTTTTTTGATATATAAGGCGATATTTTCAATAATTCATTTGTTTAATTATGAACTGCATGTTTATCATTGTATCGAAACAATTTATTTAAATATTTCTAAATTATATACTATCGATATACGACAAGTGTTAAAAGTTATATTAAAAACAAAGATATTGATCTCGTCTTTATGGTATTTTAAATTTATAAAAATCACATTTTTTATAATCAACTTAAAAATGAAGAGAAGTAAATTAGACTTTTACTAAAAACAGTCCGCTATTAATAATTTTTATAATTTATTTTTACCAACTTTAATAGTTTTTATATTATTTAACAAAATCAAAAGTCAGTTTTCATCAAAAATTGCTTTCTTCACATGAAATTCAAACTTGCACTTTAAAATAAAAAATTTATCTATACTTTTTATGACTGAAAATTAATTTAATTAATTGTATGCATATTATAAAAATTAATTAATTTATTTTTAATATAAAATTCATTTTGAAATATTTGTTCGCAATTCTTTAGTAAAATCATTTTTTAAAAATTATATCATAAATAATATTTTTAACATTTTGCACAATTCATTATTGTTGTTGTTAAAGTTCGGCACAAAAATTTAATTTTCTATATTTTTAAAATTTTATTCTTTTAACAGAACTACATTAAATGGTTTAAAATTATTTTCTTTTTTTGGTTCCTTTCAAAATATTGGATACCAACTGTAATCAATACAATAGTTTATGAGCAAGTCCAATTTTTGGACAAATGAGGTGATTGCGGATCTTTATAATTTGATTAATTTTATAATAACATTTTAAATATATTATTATACAGTATAAATATTAATTTAATATTATTGTCTATTATGTAAGAAGTCTAATTCCCACAAAGCAGGACACAATTATACAACTATTCGTTCTCTTTAGCAGTAGTACATATACACTTTGTTCCCTAATATTTATATTTTGATAATTAATAGAAAACGAACGTGTTCAATAGCGAAATGGATCATGCTTATTGTAATGACTTTATGCCGAAAGATATTAATTTTACTTTTTGAAATAGTTTATATTTTTAAAAATTGTCATATATGTCTTTTACTATTAATAATAATATGTTTCAGTTCGCAGTTAGCGTACTTTAGAAATCTATGTTTATAATGAGAATACTGCCATTGGCTAGTTCAGGGATGTCCAAAGTATAGCCTGCGGGCCAGATGTGGCCCGAGGCTATGTTTTTAATCTACTACAATTAGGCAAATGTTCTTTTGATGTACTAGTAAAACCACTTTATTTAATTTTTATGGTATACCAAATAAATGAATTTAAATTGATAAATAAACTAAATTTAACATTATAACAGTATTTATAATGTTATAATGTATTTATAATAATAACTAGGAACGTATGTATTTTCTACGACCTAAGACCCTCCAATCTGTACAGTAATTCGTATTGGCCCACTATCGCACCCGTTCAGGACAGCCCTGGGTTAATTATTTAGTTTTGTTTTGTTGTTCAAATACGTTTGTATATTTAATTGATGAATACAATTAACAAAGTATTTGACACGTCTTCAACAGTCTGTCAGAAAATTGTTTGGATAACAGAAAATACTATAATATATAATATTAATTATATTATTATTTTAAATAATTTATAAAAAAAAAACAAAATTAAGATTCATGTCACATAAATAGCTTCAAAAAAAAAAAATAAATAAAATCTAAATTAAAAAACGTAAAATATACCAATTTTATATCATGTACCAATTTACCAAAAAATATAGAAGATTACGAATTCAAAAAAATTAAAATTAAAGGTCATCAAATCTAAAGTCAGAAATTAAGCTCAGACACTATTATCTTTCTGTACTTTAAAGATTTTTTGACACAATTTATAAGTATAAGCCAATTAACACTTTTAAAACATGAATTCCTTGGATCTGAATTCATTGAGTACAGAACAAATATCCCATAAAGTGCTAAAACTTTTCTATTTAATTCACGTTACACACAAAACATATTCCTGATAACACTTTTTTGAAAGTGTTACCCTTGAGTTTGATCATACCTGGTCTGACGTTAAAGATCCATAAAATCGGTGATGCACGGTAATTGTACTGAAGATACTTTTGGGTTTTAGAAAACAGTTTCACTATTTTGTTGTAGCACTTTTTTTCTATATATGTTCATCCAAGTCTAAATTCTATTAGTTGATATTTTTTTGATGACTTTAGTAGTCAATATAAATGTCATAAAGCTTAATGATAACAATGTAAATATTAGATTCATTTATCTTCTTCTATTATTATTCAATAATTTCATGATAATATTTTATAATAATACAATATGTTTTATATATTATTATTATAATTATAAATAATATTTTATAATAATATTTTAAACTTCTTTAAAGTCTGCAATTGCTCCTATTAACTGGGGAGCATATTTTTTTGCATTTTACTTTATTGTTTTGAAATGTCTTCAATAACCGACATACATTTGGATTGTTCCCGAAACTCAAATTGCCCCTTCGTGGTAAGCGTTTTGAGTCGATTGAATTGGTAAAAGAGAATTCGCTGAAGGAACTAAAAGACATACCTTCACGGGCCTACGAAAAGTGTATGGAAGATTGGGTTGAGCGTTGCCATATGTGTACCGCTTCAAAAGGAGCATATTTTGAAGGAGATAAAATATATTTGGAATAAAATTTAAAGTACTTTTTGAGCAGAGTTCTAAGTTGTTATGTGCTTTTTCTTCTCTTAGAGCTTTGATATAAATGTTATTTGCTGGATCAATATCTATTCAATTAAACATTGTGTCAAACTGACTGATAGAATTACATACATATATTCGTTCATAATATAATACATTTAAAATGTTTTAGGTGCATATATGGTAGGGAGTACTTGAAGCTCCATTCATGAGATGCCTTTTAATTTCTCAAACTGTGGAGCCATCAAACTTTTTAACTGGTTTCTTAACAATACTAGGCATAAAAGTTTATTCCATAAGATATGATTATAATTTAACTGTACTTATTCAAAAATATTTCATGAGTTAAATTTATTTGCATTACGCTTATATATAAATTAAACTTTTTCTATAGTCCAGACATGTAAACTTGATTCTGTTTTGCTATTGACACCTTTGAACACATAAAAAATGCTTTTATAACTTAAGTTTAATAATTATTAAAAACTTGGCTTAAACATTGTACTCAATTTAAATTTCAGGCTCTGCAAGTGGCTGTTAAACTGGAAGGTGATGTTATAACAGCGAATGGCTCTATTTTAAGTGGATATGAGGGACACGACGCTCAATCATTTAATGGAACAAATACATCAATGTGTTCATGTCATTGTGCATGTTTTAGTGCAAACCGACATAAAAAGTAAGTACACCTTCAGTATCCACCATATCTATGCCAAAACTAAATTTATAAAGCATTTATAGTATAGCTAATGTAACAAATATTAATAATGTAATTATTATTTTACATTTTAATTTAATTGTAAATAATTTATGTAAAATGTTTTCCTTTCTCTTTTACACGAATGTTAATGTGTTCGTTGTTTTTAACTTTTAAAATGTTTGTACTTTCATCCGAAATTCCTCAAGAAGTTCACTCGCCGATGATATGTAAGCTTTTTCACTTTTATTTTATAAGTGTATAACATCATATTTTATATTATTTTTTTTCAAAATTATTTTTATTTAATGAATTCAATTTATTTTGCGTTGTTGTGCAACCTAATAAATAAATAATTTTTATTCAATTTTCATTACACTATTAAATTATTAACGTATTATTATTTTTTCTAAATCTTTTATTTATTGCAATATAGGCATCAATACAAAGTACGTAGATCACCAACACACATCCGGCATTTATTACCAGAACTTGTGCCAATGCAAGATTTAGGCTATGACACCAATAGTCTTCATACCGGGGACGTGGATGTATTGGATACTGCTTCCGTTTCGCCTTCCAAACCACATAAGCAATTGCTTAAGCGAAATGTATCGTTATTGTCATTTCGTATATAGACAAATATTTTTAGATTTTATATAAAATCTTTATAAGTAATACATAAATTTTATTTGTAAGTTAATTGAAATTTCCTAATTCATCGGTTTATTTTATATAATGTATAATTTGAATTATAATTTTTAAATTTCGAAAACTGCAAACTAATAGTAAATTAATGAAACTGCTCTGTAAATATTATCAAGAGAAAGATTTACATTTCCAAACAACTTATCTACCAAACTTATAGTAACTGGGTCTTACAATAATGTATTTCCGATAAAATTCTACAAAAACATGGTCGTTCTAAATCTTTATAAGAGAATATCTAATAATTTCAAATTAAACGAAACCGTAAATATTAAATAGAACCAATTTTTTTTGTAATTTTAAAAATAAAAATTATAAATATTTTTACGAATTATTATTTTTTAAAACAGTTCTCCAATTTGATAAAATTAATTTAATAAATATTTATTAATTAAGTTATATGTTATAACAACTCCAAATGAATATGGATTTTAAATTAAAGTTAATTATAATATTTATTAAATATTTATAAATAATTTATAATTAAATTTTAACATAATAAAATATGTTATCCAAATGGATATGGCTTTTAAATAATTTATGTTTATAATTTATAATTAAATTTTACCATAATAATATTTGAATTCATAAAATTTAAAGTTTAAATTGAAATAATATTCTCCAAAACACTTTTAATTAATTTAAATACATTTTAAGAATGTACAAAATATTTGAATCAATTTTGTGCTTACCTTAAACATATATAAAAAATATTATGTATACATTATTTCTTAACAATTTATTTATTTATACACAATTTAAAAATTATATGAGCATAATTGAAAATATCTTTAAATTATTTAATAAAAAAATATTTTCAATTATAGATATATTATGAAATATTTTTCTATTTTAAAAAGCCTTACTTCTTAAAAATAATTTCGTTTTTATTTAAATAAAAGTTTCGTTTAATTTGAAAGTGTATTCTTTTAAATTGAAAATTTTCAACTAACTATTTAGTACTTTTAGACTTTAGAGAATAAAATATTTTGAAAATAAAACAGATTTAGAATTTTTAAATTATTAATTTTTTATTTTATTTTTCATTATTCAATATTTTTTTGATTTCGTGCCCGGCCGAGATATATTAACAACTGAAGTTATTATAAACTGGTCTGAGGAAGAATTCAAAAAATTCTCGAAACGCTGGCAATAAGAAATATCTAAAAATTACAAGACTGTTTTAAATTCACGAATATTCTATTCACTGAAGCTATAAAAACTAAATAATCAAAATTCAATGAACTTCAGAAAACTTATACTTGAAATGTTTTATATATATAATCTGAAAATACTACATACAATATCCATAGTTTTTAAGATGAATCATTTTGTTTCTAAAAACTTACAGTTCTATTTAGCTTGAGTTAATTTCATTTTCATAAAAAGAAACCTAATGATATAAACCATATAGTACTTATTTATCATTATTTAGAATTACTTTCAATTTTTTATATTTAAGAAACTCTTCTTTTTTTTCAATCTTAATTTTTCATTATTTTTTAATCTCTGATACAGTGTATACTAGAAGATTAAATGGCAAATGACTATACTTATATATATGCAGTTACAAAATAATACAAATGATCTTCTAAGATAACAGTACTCTATTGCGAGTCTAAATCTTTATTTCAGTTACAAGAATATGGAAAAACTATCGATTAATTATGAACTATTACAATTGCAAGTACACTATTCTAACATCCTTTATTATAGTTTTTGTGATAAGAATGCAAAAATTTATTTTTATTTATAAAATAGATCATTTAAAACCTCCCATATGTTAGCTGACAATTTTTTAATTTTAGATATTTCACTAATAATTTATTGTGCTATAAATAATCACACAATAATTAAAGCTAAGCATTTAGCTGAAATATTATGACACTCTAAAGCTTTAGTTAAAAATGATCAAATTTATAAATGATTATTAATTTTTATAGTTATTTTTATTATAATATATATATATATTTATATAATTTTATATTTGAAAATTAATCAATAACATATTGGTCCCAACACCATTATCTATTCTGGGGAGAAACTGACATAATTTTCCCACTAATAACTAAGTGGAGGTAATATATGTTATATCGCACTTGTAGGATGAATGAAAAAAGTTCAAAGAAGATATATCTACTCTCCTTCTAAGCAAATTAGTTAGGATTGATATGGTGCTCCAACCGACAATGAATATAAAAGTAGGTTTCAGCGACATAAGAATAGTTCAGTTGGCTGAGTCGATCCTAAATTCGCAGAGTTGTCATTCTAACCTAACAAAGGTTTATAGTAAAAGCAGTATTTTTTTTAAATACTTATGAATTAGCAGAAAAATTGATGTCTTCATTTATATCTACATTGAAATTATATGACATATAAATATTTCACAGTTTTTCAGTTATATTTAGAGCCATTTTAGATTAAATTCTTTTTTTTATTTTACTTTAACTGAATTAAATCTAGGTCTTGATATTAGATCGTATTTAGTCTTTTAATTAGTTCTAAATGTGCCAATCTTTATTATATATGTATGGTAATTTTACCTTAGATTATTTAAAAAAAAAATTTAAAGTGCTTAAAGGATTTTTTTCCTAATATAGACGATGCTATTTGCTTTGGCTTCTAATACACTGTGAAACCCTCTAATAAATAATATTTCCAAAACATAATAATATAACTGAAAGTCATTATATCATCGCTGAAAATGTGTTTTAACATATCTTTGCTATATACTCGAAACGGTTTGGACTCCGATAAAATTTTTGTGTGTAACATAGTTATTTATTAAACTATAAAATGAAATGCTTAAATGTAAATGTGAACACAAGAGAGATCTCCTATCCTCCGGTATAACTAAATATATTATACTTAAAATAAAAAAGAAAACATTTAATATTCATATTCTCTCCATTCTATTATCAATTTCAGGCACATGTTCACATTTTCGAATAGTTTTGTTTCTTTTAGAATATAAATAACTCATATTCCTAACATGACTGTATATCGAATTTATAAAAGCCAAAAAACTATAATTTTATTTAACATAATTCTATAAATTACTTTCGTCTGTGTACACCAGTGCCGAGTTCAATTTTCTTAGTAACTTGAGGCAAAGTTTTAGTGGTTCTCTGCGATAATGTTTTTTTAAAAAATCAAATGCCATTACATAATAGAACACAAGATTAAAAATTCTTCAACTTAGTCTAAACTTCGTATGTAAAAAAAGAGGATAACATACAAAGCATATCACTTTATAGAAATCACTTCTACCAAGCAGGTTAGGAGCGTTCCAAAAACTTTTTTTTTAATTTGCAAAATAAAGGATAACATACATAGCATATCACTTTTCAGAAATCACTTATACCAAACTAGTTAGGGGCATCCCAAAAATCTTATTTTTTTAATTTTTTCACTTTTTTATTTCTGTGCATCATCTCTACAGTTAATGAGACACTGGTGTACACCTAATATAAAAGGATCTCACTGACCCTAACCATGCAAGTAATGGATATAATAAGTTTAGTTTTTTAATCACTTATCTGTTATAATTAAAATTAATTTTAATGTTAAATGTTTATTTTTGTTTAACATGAATTAAATGATTAAAAAAAGTTGAATAAAATTAAAAAGTTAAATTATAAATAATTTTATTATTTATTTAATATTTTTTTAGCATACAAAATTTATAAAGTCGGAATTAATTAAAAATTAATAATATAAAATATCTTCAAATGAAAATAATTGCATCTAA